AATATAGGTCACATTATTGATCATAAGTTTTTATTTTTTATAGAAACAATGGCATCAATTGAAGATAGTTGGAAAGAAGCAACTGAGGCATTAGATAATGATGCTTCTAACATGTGGTTTGATAAATTAAAAGAAGCTTATTCGGAAGAGAAAAGAACTTATCATAACTTAGATATGCTTTGCGAGAAGTTGAGTCATTATCATGAGATAAAAAATAATTTGAAGAATCCGCAAGCTTTACTTCTTGCATTGTTTTTTCAAAAGTAAGATCTATAAGCGAAGAGAAGCAATTAATGTTTCTGTTGTATACAATAGATTGTTTTTATTCCAGCTTTGAGTATGATCCAAAAGTCATAGATGAAGAAATTAAGAATTTAGAACATTTCAATGCATTTGCTGAAGAAGCCGGTATTACCATGGTAAGAAAGAATATATATATACATTTAATTATTTTATTTTATTTTACAGAGAGAAACAAATGATTAAGTACAGATCACATATCTATATATTTCTTTTAGGATTCAGAATTAAGAGAAGAAACATGCGCTTTACTTAAGGTTGTTGCCACGCATAGTACGGAAGCTCATAAAGTTGGAGGTGCATTTGGTAGTGAAGATGCTCATTACTTTCTAGATTTAGATATGGCTGTTTTAGGCTCTCCGCCTGAAAATTATGCAGAGTATAGTGGAAAAATTCGTGGAGAATATGCTTTTTTGAGTGAACCTATGTACACTGCTTTGCGATTAAAGGTATAGTATTTTGTTAAATCATTACAGCATTTTATTCTGGTATAAATCCTATTATACTTCATATAGGTGTTACAAAATTTTGTACAAATTCCGAATATTTTTGCAACAAAAGAGTTTCGAGAAAAATTCGAAGCACAGGCACGAGAAAATATACAAGCTGAAATAGAATTGTTATCTTAAACTTCTACAGAAATCAGAAAATATGTTGAGTATGCCAAAGTTCAATGTTATGAACATTTTATGGTCCAGGTATATTTTCAATCTAATTTAAGATGAAAAAAATATCTTAGAAAAAAAATCTAAAAGTTTAACTTTTATTAATATTAACATATATCTGTAAATAATATTTCTCTCATGATATTAAAGTACACGGAAAAGATTTTATTTAAACGAAATCAAGTTTTTAATTTTCTTATTTTTATTATGTTGCTCTGAAACTTCTCATTATATTTATTAATATTATATAAGAATGTACTGAATTAATTTGATTAATTGCTAGACAAAATATTATTTTATTTTCTATATCAATCTAGTTAATTTTTTACTTATAATTTGATATCCTTGAGCTATAGAAAGTACAAAGAACATATATTGTTCAAGCACATTTGTGAATGCTTCTAATGTAAGCATTAGCTTGAAATAATAATCTAAGAAAGATTATATGTTTATGATTTGATTTATAATTTTATTTATAGTATGATGTAATTTATAAAAATATATAAAAACTTGATATTTATGTATATATTATTTAATATAGTAAACAAAACTGATATTATATAAATAATTAATATATAATTAAAGTGATTCTGTTATAATTTAATTCCTAATCTATTATTATAATAAATGTTTACAATAAATGATTGTACTGATTCTAAAAATTGAACTATGCCATTTTAAATTAATGTTAATAGAAATTATGCTGGATGTTTTAATTTCTTATAAACGTGATTTATAACTAAAATAAGATAAAAAAATTTTTAAATGTAAATGATGCTCAAGTTATTGCTATAATAATAACCAATTATAAAATATTAATAAGTGATTAGTTCTTCTAATTTAAGATATCCCTTAACAGTATTTTTTTTTTATAAATATTTTAAACGTTTATTTTGCTAAATCGACCTATCTATCATCTACTGGAAAAATTAAACTTAAAACAAATTTTTAATATTTCTTTTAATATATAATAAAAATTTGACTTTATTACTGCTATAAAAAACTATTCAGTCTCATTAAAAATTTATGGGATAAAAAATAACTCGGAAATAAATATGTATAATAATAAATATATATATATATATATATCTTATTCATATACATAAGAAGATTATACATAAGCGTATAAATTTCAATAGTATAGTTCACATAGAATACTGACATAAATATGAATTTTTAACAAATATGAATGAACTCTTTCTAATACATTTTGATGACGTTTTTGCATTTATGGTATGTACATTCGTATGAAAATAAACAATTAATAAAGATATGAATTTTATAAATATATTTATTCACAAAGGTTTGTATAATACTTTTGAATCCTTCATTAGCAATGTGAAGAAAATTTTGAGTTATATATTCTGTAAAGATTTTTTCGTGTTTGTACATGTTATAACATTTTAATGACTTATAAGATTAGTAAATAATTTATGGATCCCAATCTAATCTGGATTACCTTAAAAATGATACTCTTATATAATCTATTACGCTTATTCAGTCTTTACATAACAATCATCCATTTGATTGTAATATATAATTTTTATTTTGTTAATGAAGGATTAAAAAGTAATCGAATTTTATTAAATAGATACTAATCTTATTTGATAGTTGTGCTAATTATTTTTATACTTAATCGTATAATTTATGCAACATGTACATAGAGGTAACAAAAGACGAATGGAAAAATTTATTACATTATGATAAAGCTGTTGAGAATAATATTATTTTTACTTCTTGAGATTTTTAATCATCCAATGTAATGATCTCTACACTATCATTTGCAGATTTATCAACTTTTTTACCAGATTTTCCTCTTGGTAGATCATATAATGTCATACAATCTGAATTTGGTTGCCTTAAAGTTTCAGAAACTTTTTGTGGAACAACACTTACTGACGAAGAAAGATTTTTTGAAAAATCTACATTTGTCTTTATTTGACTTTTTTGTTGAGGTATTATTTCTAAATGTGAATGTTGCTGTAATTGAGATAACATAGAAAGTGCTTCTGCAGAGGTTGTTTGTGGAAATGAATTTGATAATGGGTTTTGTACATCCATTATAACAGATTTTGGTTTTGTTGAAGGTCTTTTGTAATTACTGACTTTTGCATTTGATCCTTTTATTCCAGATTGTGCTACTGGACTTACAGATATTCCACTTAGTTCAGTAGGTATATAAGATGTTTGTCCTAATGATGAATTTCCTGTCATATTATTTACTAAGTTGGGAAAATTACTTGACATAATCGGTAGATTTTTATTAATTAGCTTTTGTTTTCGTAAAGAACCTTGCACATATGTATGATGATATGGTCTTTGTGAATTTTTTTTCGATAATAATTTATGTTGCAATGAAGTTCCTGATCGAGATGTAGGTAAATTCATTGGTAATGATGGTTTTAAATTTAAAGATTGACTTATTGATGCATGTGCTACTTGTGGTACTACATTTGAATTTGATGGACTATTATTTTTTAAAGGTGCATGCGATAACGAAGAATTATGTGCAGGTTGAGGCTCAGTTAATGATTTGGAAACTCGAATTTGGGGTGCAGTCATTTGTTTTGGTGGACTTGTTTTAACTTGCTGAATAATAGACGGTTTAAGAAGTGAAACCTGTGTTGTCGAAGGATGAGAAATAGTTTTAGAAGCTTGTGAAATTTGAAGAGATTTAGGAATATGAACAGGTAATGCATCAGTTTGTGGACTTGGCCTACTAGGTTTGCTTTTTTGAGGTAATGACGTACTTACTGGAGTTATAGATATGTTAGGCCTATCTTTAGTTACTGATGTAGTTGTAGTAGTTTTAGTCGTTGCTTGATGATACGTTGGTGTTGATCGCGTATTTTGAACTGTAGAATTACTTAAATTCAATAATTGCTGTACTGTTAATGTGTTTATACTATTAAGATTAGTTATACTACTGGGTGTACTTGTATTAGAACTGGATGTACTCATTGTTTGTATATTACTAATGCTGGGTACAGTAGCAGTAGTACTATTTAAACTGCTGGTTAAATTAGATAACGATGAAAGGTTTGTTTGATATTGTCTAAGAATGTCTTGATAATTTCCTACTTGATTTAAATAAGACATGGCTGATAGAGGATCCATCATATTACCACCTAAACTACTAGCAAGCATTGCTGATAACATATTTGGATCAATCAGTGGATTCATAAAATAGGGATTCATTAGTGCACGATTCCCTGGTGTACCTATATAATTAGCAAAAGTATTCTTAGAATTAAATTGATTCATAATATTACCACCTTGTTGCATTGCTTGTAAGTATTTGTTAACATTGGGTGGCCTTCCCCTTGGTCTACCTGTTGATGTTAAGTTCCTGTAGGGCTTACGATTTTGGGATGCTTGAGGTGATGTTGAATTAATTTGTGTTTGAGATGTAGTTGCCTATAAAAATAATAATAACATATAAATTCTACATTTGTACAATATAATTAATTAACATAAAAATTATAAAGATTACCGGGCTTGAAGAAGTAACTGAAGTTTGCGAATTGTTACTTCCTGCATTATTCGTTGCAGCTATTTTATTTGCTAATATTTGTCGCTGGCAACATTTAATAGCCATTTCCAAAATGTTTCCATCTAAATTCTAAAAACAATAACATTTCAATTAATAATTATTTCTTATAAAAGATATATAAATTTTTCTTTTTTCTTCAAAAAATTATATATAATCACACATTATATAATATTTCTTAATATGTGTTACAATTTAATTTTATGAACAATCCTTTTATCTCGGCACATTAAATTTTTTTACCTTAAAATAGATATTATCTTTAAGTATTTGATAAGAATGAATACTTAAAATATCGACCGTTTTACTTACTTTATTGCCAATGTAGATCTTATAAGTATCAATTAATAACGAAGCAAATGCCTGTACAGTTGGTTCTTTATTTTGAAAATGTTTTTGAATTTGTTGATATATTTTATATACATCCAATAAAACTTGAGTTCTCGAATCTGTTCTTATAAGATGTACACTATCTATTGTACTAGGTGATCCCATAGTATGCACTCTACTCCTCAAAGATTGTAAACAGAGAGTTAACGCTTGACGAGATAATTGCTCTCTTTCAGAATCACGTAAGTATTTCCTACGTAAATTATATTTATGTAATATATTTCATAATAGTTAAACATTATACATAAAATTTATTTTCTTTAAATTTTTTAAGGTAATAAAAATCATTTAAATTATTACGTAATGTATAGTAATATATTCTAATGGTTACTATCTAAAATAAATCTTACTTGTCAGAATCTGGTATCTTTGCAAGTTGTACACACAGTTGCATTAACATTCGACTATCATTTGTTTCTTTTAATACTTGCATAAGTAATGTTACACATCTTGACATATGTGATGCAAAACTTCCTGGTCTATCAATTTCACGATTTGGTATATGCCATACACCCTAAAATATATAGTACATAAAATTTAAAAGTACTTGTTGACAAAAATAGAATATATAGAAATTGTTACGTATTCTTACGTAGAATACGTAAAACGTGTAGACAAGTAATGTAAATATAAATTGTATAATATATATTACTTATATATTATGTATAATGTAATACAACGAAATATTGAAAATATTAACGTAAAATCCAATTTTACTCTGACTTATTTACAATTTATATATAAAATATTATTTCAGGTATTGTTCAGGATTAATAATGAAGATCTATTACATAACCTTTATAATAATCCTATATTGTAAATTGGCATTTGATGTTAGGTAAAAACTATTATTAAATACATAAATGAATTTGGATATTAATTATATTGAATATCACTTTTTATATTTAATCATAAAAAATGTTATACGAAGACGTGTGACTGCACGTAATAGTGTTATAATAGATACGGATCCAGGTAGTGATGATGCATTAGCAATATTATTAGCACTTGCATATGAGAAATCTAGTTCTGAAGACTTTAAAGTTTTAGCAATAACATGTACATACGGTAATACATATTTAGAAAACGTAGAAAAGAATGTTCTTAAGATTTTAGAAATAGCTGATAGAAGTGATGTAAGTATAACTTAGTTATTAAAACTCTAAAAATGTTTGTGTTACGGGAAAATAATTTAATATCAACTTATTCTTTTAGATACCTGTCTACAGTGGTAGTAAAAAATCACTAATATATAATTTTACTGCATCAAATTATTTTGGTAAAGATGGTTTGGGAGATTTTGAATTTGACAAAAATATTACTGGTAAAATAAACAGAACTAAGCATGCTTCTATGGTAATAATAGATATGGTAAAACAATATCCAGGTAAATTTATTTAAAAGAAAATAAGACAAATAAAAAATGGCTAAGCATTTGTATTTTATTATTTTCAATTTTAATGAACTTAAAAATTGTTTTCTTTTTTTTTTTAGATGAAATTACCATAATATGCTTAGGTCCTTTGACTAATATAGCTACAGCTATTATTTTAGAACCGAATTTGCAAGACTATGTTAAAAATATATTTATAATGGGTGGAAGTGTAGCAGGAATTGGTAATTTTAAACCTAATGTAGAATTTAATTTCGGAACCGATCCAGAAAGTAATTTTATATCACTAAATTCTATAACAAAAACACCAGTTATACTTATTCCTTGGGATGTATGTCTTTCGTATAAAATATCACTGGTAGGAATTGAACTTAAATTCTATGAACTTAAATTATAATGTAATTTCATAAATAATTATGTTTGCCATGATTTTATAGGAATGGCGTTACAATGTTTTTGGTAAATTGAATTCTACTATGGTAGACTTTTTAAATAAAGCAGAAAGAATTGCACTAAATTCTACGGTTGAATGGTGCCCAATAGATACAATTGCTGTTGCTACTGTGATATGGCCTGCTTTTATATTAAAATCAACTCTAAAAAATATATATCCTGTAATTGATGGAACTGGACGAGGTTCTATTCTTGTAGATTATGCAGAATCTACTGATAGAATAAAGAATGCCAAAATAATTCAGGAATACGATATGGTAATGTTGAAAGATAAATTACTTCATTATTTTCAATAATTAATGATGATATCTAACATAACTAAATATGTATTATAATATTTCTAAACTTATCTGTATGCTATTTAAAATGTAAATAAAAATGTAAACAAACTTACACTAAAGAAATTGGTACTCTTCCTATCCGCAAAAAGTCCTTGAAAGCTTTGTCCAGGATAAAATTGACAATTGTATGTACCCAATAATAAATCTTTACATTTAGTAGTATCTTTAGCTGTTCTATTGTTAAAGAAAAAATGAGCAAGTCGATAAAAAGATTTATGATGTTCATTAAACCTTAATATGCACTGTTCCAATCCTGCCAGGCAATATGCGATTAAAGTTGCTACTTCTTCATCAGTCATATATTCTTCTGTAATTCATATTAAAATATGACATTATTAGTTAAGAATACTATGGGAAATTTTTTATTTTAAATAATTTTACCTTTTTCTATGATATCACTATCTCTTTTTTTCTTCTCAATATCACTTTCAACAGAATCACTATCACTGTCACTTGAACTATCACTTTCAGAACTATCTTCACTACTACTTGATTCATCACTACTACTCGAACTAGAATTATTTGTTTCTGTCGTTGTTGTTGTTTGTGTTGTTGTAGTACTTTCTTGAGAACCTCTTCTACTTAAAGTAACTTCTTGTTTAGGAGCAGATGTATGCATTTTCTTCTTGTCTCCTAGTTTATCTTTTGTTTCCTTATCCTAAAATAAAATAAATTTATCTCGATCATTATAATTAAAAAGTTAATTATAATTCAGTAAAACAAATCTTAATAATAATAATAATAACTTACAGTAGTTTGCAAATCTTCATTTTGGAGCCATTTTCCTTCAAACTTTCTTGTATCATCATCATCAGGTAGAGATTGTTGTGTTTCCTGGCTCATTTCCATTGCTTGCTTCATAAGAGCATCCATTAAATCTTGCACATTTTCACTTTTTTCACAAGAATCAAATATGTTGTTTGCTTTAGACACATCTAATATATTTTTCTTATTTTTTTCTATTTTTAATTGTATTTTATTAGTGTCAATATTTTTTACTGATTCCCCCCTTTTCTTTTGATATTTAGTTTCATTGCTTTCATCACTTGATAATACCATAATATCATCTGATACCTTTTCCTTTTGCAATACCATGTCACAAACTTTTGTGATTAGATCATCTATTAAAGCTACAACATCTTGCATCAATTGAAGATGAGAAATATTCCCCAATTTTAATCGTTTTGTATTATCATTAGATTGATTATCTAAAGATCTTTTACGATTTTCTGATTTTAATGTTTCGGTAGTTCGATTGCCATCAAGACTTTTATCTTGTATATTTCTATCTATAATTTCAATTTCTTCAATACTGTAGGAACGTTGATTAATATTCACAACATTTTTATATGTTTCTGATAAATTATCAAGATCTTTTCCAACATTTTTTGTATCAGCATCTGAATCATTCTCTTTCTTTTTTTCGCATAGTTTTGATTGAAACTTCATAAAAGGTCCTTCGGAACAGTTTTTAAGATGCCATTGAAACAATTGACCTAATGATTTCTTTAAAGGTTTACCTTCATGTTGTTCAAGATATTTTAATATACTTGCATGAATTCGATAATGCACTTCTAATGCTTCAATAGAAAGATATTGTGGATTTTTATGACTAATTCTACGAGGATACTCTGCATTATTTTCATATAGTAATTTACTAGCCTAAAATTAAGTAAAAATATATGTTGAATGTTAAAAGAAAAAAAAGAAAAAATTATAAAATATATTGATAAATATAAACTGACCTGTGCATAACAACTTAGAAATATAGGTGGATCTTCATTTTTCTTCTCTGCAATTTTACCGAGCATATATTGACATAACCATCTTTCATCCTGAATTTTATTAATGTTGTCAATTCCATGACATGCCATAAATAATCGATTAGATGATTGAAAACATTGTTCTGCTATTTCTAACATTTCCTCTTTTCTATTTTCTAATACTTCAAATTTTTCCATACTTAAAGTATCAGTCTCTTGTTTTAACAAACGTGAACAAAATGAATGAACCATATAAACAAAACTTCCATATTCAGTCCAGATTATTACATGATTAGGTGCTAATTCGGTAGCGTGTCGATAACTGGATTGAGCTATTTTGGCTTTCATTAATAACTTATCTTCGCTTCTAAATAATAAATCAAAAATAGATCCATTTATGTATGCATAATAATATAATAATAACCATATACTCTTTTAAGCCAACTTCTATTGTAATTGTAATTATAATTGAACTTACATAAGTCTATAGTTAGTTAACCAAATGTCTATTATAGTTCCTGTTGACATGGCTAAACCTGCCCAGGAATTTAATCCGGATGGGCGAAGACATAAATCTAGTAAGTAATATCGTGCAGCGAGTGTCCATTTGTTATTTTTAAAATAGAAATCACCTAATAAGTAATAAATAGATGATATAGAATGTGGTAATGGCTTTTTAACACATGGCATCTTTTCTTTTTCACCCATTATATAATCTTTCATTTCTTCAATTATTTGGTTCGGATCACTTTCTTCTGGAACTAATCTAAGTATTTTTTTAAATAAGAGTTCTGTATCTAAACTTATAGCTGCAAGTCTAGGAGATTCTAGTATCGGCATTTGTTTCGGTTTATAAAAATCGAATAATAATTGTGCTCCTTCCCATGTTAATTCCATTTGAGGTGCTCCATGCTCTTCGAGATGTTTAGGTTTTGACTTATTTAATCTATTTGGGTGACCGTATAAACAATAAAAAATTTGTTCTAAATATTTTGTAAGTTTGTTTTTTATAGTAGAAAATTGTGGAGTTTCCAATTTTGGTATGATCAGATTCATTGTAAAGAATAAAAGCTTTGCATCATGAAAACAACACCATGAGTGTTTGCCTATAAAATCGTGAGCAATAAATAAAATCATTATGGAAGGTGGAATACCATCATCTTCATCATCTGATTCAGAATTATGTGAATTATGCGCTTTGTTTTTATAGGATGATTCAGACTTTGCTCTCTCTTTATCTTCTTCACTGTAAAATAAATATTTTTATATTTTTCTATAAAGAATGTATTTATAGATAATAATCAATAATATTTTAAGCATAGAACTTACTATTGCAAAATATAATGTAATAGAATCCAGGGTAAAACTGTTTCAAGTGGCATCTCTAATGCATTTTCTGGTATATCCAATTGATGACATACTATATGAACTAAATTTTGCACTAACCTTGAAAGGCAAGATTCCGGTAAATACTTTACTGAAATTAAAAATTATCATAGGTTAATATTTTTATATTTAAAATAAGCGAAATGTTATATATAATAATTTATAGTTTATAAGATTAATTAAGATAAAATATTTTATTACCAACAAATACACTTATCTCCTTTGTACAAGCTTCAAGCTTTTCAAGACAATTTACGACAGAACGTGTCCATTTTTTTTGCTCAGGATCTTCGCAAGCATTCAAATAATTTTGCCATGATTCGTTTAGACAAGCTTCTGCCCATACGTAACATTCCTAAAATATCATTAATATGACTATGATAAATTATTGTTAATTATAAAAAAAATTATGTATATATCATTAGTATATATATATACAAAAAGTTATTTATCTAATAATATGACCTCATAATGTTGAAGTTGCCATAAACTATCTAATAAGATAGCTAATTGTTTATCTCTTTCAATTATATTTTGATTGGCAGATAGTAATTTATGTTTCTGTCTTGCAAATTTGAATGTATCTTGTAAAACACAAGACAATTCCGCATATTTTTTTTCATCATATAAATGTTGTATTTCACCAAGTTTTTGACTCCTATTATAAAAGTATATAATAATATATTAGAAATTCTATAATCTAATTGTTGACAATTAATAATGTAAAATAAATTTTGTAAATACCTCTGTATAGATTTCAGTTTTTTTTCAACTATTTTAAGATTGATTTGGGAATTACATTTACAATTTGGTAATATAAGGCAAATATTGTGATTTTGACCTTCCAATTCTCTTAATTGATGTAGCAACTACAATATGTAAAAAATTATGTAATAGAAAAATTAATAATGTCTATGTAAATTTTATATATATTTATTAAATTTCTTACCAACTCTAAGGTTTCGATAACAATATCCGTGTCACCTTGACATAAGAAGATAGTAGCTTTTAGCCATAGAACTCTTAATAAAATGAAAATATTTTCTTGATGTAAAAGATCTCCTCGAATACTAGTAAATATTATATGACCTAATTCTTCTGAAGGCATACCAGTACCTAATTTGTCTAAACTATAATAATATTACAATGTAAGCTAGGAGCACATTATAGTAAAAAAATAAACATATATATATATATATATATATATATATATATATATATTTATTTATTAATGATATATATGTATCATTAATAAAAGTTGAAATTTTTTACCTTGATGATGCTATAAGGTCAGGCTTATTATCTAACCATTTATCCGTATGAAGTTCTCCAAATAACAATGTCATTTCAGCATCTAATTTTAAAATATTATCGTCTATATTTTCATCAAATGGTGATGGATGTGGAATATGCTCTCTAAAAGAACAAAAATAATAATTCTGATGTTGTATATATATTTTTTAATATTAGTTAAAACATTTTTTGTATACCTTGTAAATGAATAAGCTTCCAAATAAATTTCTGACAATCCTTTTGGCCATTCTTGAGTCCATTTTGTACATATAAATTCTGTGAATTTTGCTATGATTACCATTAAATTGTTCTTGCTACTATATTCATTAATAAATGCACCCACATCGACATTTTCTAATTCTGTTCCAAAATATTTTGTTTGTTGACTAAAATAATAAATTAATGAAAATATGGAAATATTTTTAAAATATTATTTGGTGATGAATAAATAAAAAATTACCTTGTATCAGGACTTGGTGATTTAGAACTATCAGAACTCTTTATTCCTTCTGCCGGAGCAGTATTGTTTTCTTGATTTACAAATAATTGATATACATCCATCGTATCCATAGTATCATCTATACCTTTTGTAGGATCATCTTTTGTTAATTTTACTGTGTCTGATCTAAAAAGAAGTAATAGAAACTGTAAGTTGAAAAAAATCATTAATTTTTTATAAAATGGAAAATATATTTAAAGACTTTACAATAACGTGCTTGGAAATATTCTTCTGAGTGTTTCTTCTAATTGAACGTCATCTCTTTCAGCTTCTCTTCGATTTGAACTACGTACTCGCGCCGATCGTCTCATGCTGCTACAACTCCAAGCCCATTGTTGTAAAAAACACAGAGCACTTCTACGTCTTTTTTTTACTTTTTGAACTTCGTCTTTTCCTTCTGTTTTTTCATTAGATTTCTCATCTATCTTAGGTATTTCTGCTAGATTTTCAGCAGGTTTCTCATAGATTTTATCATTTGACTTGTCACTTTCTCTATCACTAGACTTTTCATTAATTATTCCATTATCAGTACTATATGCATCAGCCTTTGATTTTTCTACTTGGGGTTTTTCACTATTACCTTCAGTTTCGGACATAATTTGCTCATCTAATTCTGTATTTTTTGCTTGGTTTGGATCTTCAAATTGTAACACTTCATTTAGAACATCTAAATCTGAAATTCTTAAAGGATCTTCATCTTCTATTATTTGTATATCCGTCGAACATGATTTCTTGTCTTCTTCTATTTCCACATCCATTGCTGTATTTAATACATCATTAAATCTTCTATTAATTTCAGATCCTTCAAATGTGTGATTTATTATTTCTTCTTTGTCAATCTTTATATCTTTATCTATGTCATTTGTTGTGCCATTTAAATCTGGAGATTGTGATCCTTGCACGTCTATATCTATATTAGTTTCTTGGACATCACACTCATCATCTTTATCTATGGCGTCGATATTAGACATATTAACTATTAATTTAATTCGACTTACAAAGCTTAAATCACTTTCAGTAATGTATCTGTGCATATCTAATAAACTTTCTCCAATATCAAGCCATGTATAATTAGTTATAGGTTTCCTTAATGTTAATTCTGGCACAGGTTTCGGAATAAACTCTGATTTGCATACTTCTGCCCATTTCTCTGCCACTTCTTCTGCTTCTGCTAGTAATTTATCTCCTATTATATGATTGTACTCTGTATACAGCGGTGGGTCTAACCTCCAGTCACTGTTATACAATTTATAACATTCTTCTAAACATGGAATAGCTTTGAAAATTTTATCTCGAAAAGCTAAGCCTTTAATGTAATTTGGATCTCTTTCTAATGCTACAGAAATATATAAAAGACAATTCATGTAGTCTGGTATAGCATATAGAGCAGTTATAATGTTATCCAAACATGGCCAATGGTTTGAATTACATTTCAGTCCTTGTTTGAAAGATGCACAAGCTAATTCTAAATTAGACATTTTCATAGCCATGGTACCCATTCTATACCATAATATTACATCGGAATCATCTAAATTAGCTGCTTCCCAATAATTTTCTATGGCAGCTCCATAATTTCCCCATACTGCTTCGATAGCTCCAATATTTTTATAACACGAATATTTTAATGACAACATAGGCCTTGACCTGCCATCGGATATTTCAGGTTTTTCAACTTCATCCAGCAATTCAGTTTCTAAAAGCTCCTTAAAAATATTCAAAGCTTCCTTATGTTTATTTTCTTTTAATAGTTCTAAGGCTTTATTGTACTCGGTAAGTGCTATTTGTTCCTGAAACAAATAAAATATATGAATGTATATATGTTTAACTATTGATAACTAAATTATCCTTTCAAGTAAGATAATTAGATTATTATTTCAGGTTCTTCTAATGAAATATAATTAAACATACAAAGGGACAATTAAATATTAAGGTTTTGTAAAATATAAAATATAAAAACGATAATGTAAATTATTCAGATGACACATGGGTAATGACTGTCACAAGCTGGATAAAGTTTTCTCCTATTTATAATGAGTAACAGACAATTGGGATAGAATCCTTCATTTAATAGTAAAAAAAAACATAGAGGATAATAACATATTATGTTAATTAAATAAAAGATAGATAATCACAAATTGATATAGCATCTGTGAAAGATACAAATAGTTTTGGAAGGTTATGTTTTGCGCTAAAAGTAATTAAAATGAAAAAAATCTACTTGAGCTTCTTTTGTAATTGTAGGCACATCTTCTTCTTCACTTTCCTCGCTTGATTCTTCGTTAAGTGCCGATATTTTCATCATTTTCGCCTTTTCTTCGGGGACCACAATTAATCGTATGAAACATCAACAAATCAGCCGGTTTTTTTCGTCGACTCCATATTACTATACCGTATGATCGTTTGAAGGTTATCTTATCTGGACAAACTAAAAGATAATTTTGTGAATAAATCTCATCAAGATAATTTGTATTTTCTTTTAGATCACAAATATATAACATTTTTTATTTAAGAAAAATATATATATATATATATAAATATATATATTGTGTCACATACGCACACATAGTATTTTTTAGTAATTTTTATTTATAACCATCACGAAATATTATTATTAATTATTGTGATTCCATATCGTATAAATTGATAACCGAGTCCGTGTTTACAAGATTTTCATTTCAAATACTTCGACATACAATACAATTAAAGCATCTGTTATATATACATAAATACATACTGTGATTTTTCCCTATCTTAGAACATTTATCGAACTTCCAACTTGTTTATCTTTTCTCCAGCAGAAGATAGGAAAAGTAAAAGCATGTATATGTATTATTAAGGATTGGACAATGGATTCCAAATATATTATGAAGTAACACAAGTAAGCAGTTGGTATGAAGAAAGCAACATTTTAAATAATATCATATGTGATTAAGAAATAATTAATAATAGTTTCATTTCATTTTTTATACAAAGATGTTTATGTTTTGGGGTAAGTATTCTAAATATATCTGTATATCTGTATAATAAAAATCACGATTGATTAGAAATAGAGTTAAATTATTCAGTTAAATCTTCTTAAATAGTTTTAATTATTTTAAATAGTTTAAATATATATATCGTTTCTTTATATTTATACATTGCAGTTAATTATATTTTTTATTAATTTTAGTTATTTATAATTATTTATGATCATATCTTGAGAAATGATTATATTAATAGATTGAAATGTTTAAAAATAATTTGATTTTTTTGATCATTTTTATTTAATATCAATAACACATGTATACATTAATACGCGTATTGAAATTCTTAGATATTTCTTAAAAACGAATTTTAATATTTTATAGATGAAAAAATAAGACAGAAATAAAAAATATATGTATATGTACGCGTAAATTTAAAAATAAGTGTGTACTGACTTCCGTTGTAAAAATGTTTGTACTTCTGGATGAGGATTGGCCATTGTTATCGGCGCGAATTATACACAGTTTCAATTTTATGAATTAAAATGGTTTTAAAAATTTGTATTTTCTATTGAAAAATAATGTTAGATTATAAAAATGATTATATTCTTAAGTACGTTAAAAAGTATTTTAAATTATTATTATGAAATTAAAATGTTAAGAATGTGAATTAAATTATTCATTAACTATATTGATAATACGTATATAAAAAGATTGATATTAAAATAAAGATAAAATAATGACTAACAACGAAGATAATCATTTATATGTATAAATACAAATTGATAACATAAGGATAAATTTAATGAAAGTATATTGTTGTTGTCATAAAGTAGAAACATACAAGAGGTTAGAAAATGTAATAATAGTTTTTTAATAAATTCGTATTATATCTATTGTATAATATCAGTGATAAGACATTGATATCAACAATATATACATGACAGGAAACTGGACCATAGATGAAGAACAGTCTGTAGATAATCAAAGCTTGCTTTCTTCTGAAATTATAAAAACCGCAAATATTAGAAAAAGATCCGATGTACCCACTTATTACTTATACAAAACACATTGGCGCAATGGTAAAATACTTTATATATCTGTTTATAAATATATAAATATAGAAATTCAATATATACAATTTTGACTTCTAAATTTATAGTTTCTTATACTTTTCTTTTTATTATATATTACTATTACTTATATTTATAATATATCTTTTATATATTTTAATATTCTACAGATGCCGAAATACAGCGACATTATTGGACATCATCTTTTTTATTGTCATTTGGTTCAATTTTTGTACTTGTTGTAGTAGTTATATTAATGGTAAAATTTGTGATTTTTTTTTGTATTAATAGAATAATTAATACTAAATCATCTTTGTAATTACATATTAAATAAATGAATCTTTATTATAGGTACTATTTAAAAGATGTCCACATATTGTTGCTGCAATTGTTGCTGGAATTCTTGGAATTATTCTTATATTTGTGACACTAGTATCACTTAATCATACACCAATGTATTCTTGACATATTTTTGTCGCTTCATATTATCAAATAAATTTTTTTTTGGTAGAGATAAAGACTGATGTAAAGAGATATTTAGAAATTTCATATAATAACAATTGGATCTGTTCTCTTTTTAAAATGTAATAAAATATTTGAATCTAGATATTATATAAAATTGATTGTAAATGTCATGTAAATGTCATGTATGCAAGAAAAATTAATTACTTACTGTTAACATTTATTAAACATTTTGATACGTATCATATCTTCTGAAACACGGTTTAATGTTTGTATGTAGTTATCCAGTGTTTTTTGTAATGTTTGATAACTCTATAATTTTTAAAAAAATAAATATTAGTAGAATCACACATTAATAAATTTTTAAAGAAAATGAATATACCTCAACATAAATTAGATCTTCTTCGCTTGCATGTCTGAGTTCAAATAATAGAACTTCCAATGTATTAAACGGTAACCAAACTGGTGGAGCAGTAGCTAATAATGAAGTTTCCAATCCAAAATATTCTTTTCCACTACCCAATACTGCGTTTATATAATCTATTGCAAGTTGACTTGCTTCCAATACACGACCTGTATTTAACATCAGTCGAAGTAATTCAGCAGAATTTCTTTTCTATAATAAAGTCAAATTATTGTTAATATTACTCTCTAATAATACATTATATATTTAAAAATATATTAATACTATTAATTATTAATAAATACTTTGTATGACATTAATAACCACTCTGGTAAAAATGCTCCATCTTGAAGTAATTTTCGAGAAATTGATTTGTGAAGATCAGTACTTTTATCCTTTTCATGTTTTTCTAAAAGATATTTTAGCAAGCTCCATGTAGTATTTACAATATTAGAATTAGTTACTCCCATATCTGCAAACAATATAATCATTAGAAAGAAATGTAATTCTAACGTTATATATATATATCAAGAATTATATCAACTTCAGCATTTACCAAATATATCATTTTGTACAAGCCAGTCCCAAGCTTTTGGATCTTCATGTTGACTTAATCTTATGCACTGAGATGTTAAACTTTCAAATATAGAATTTTTAGGTAGGTTGAAAACATCACACAAGTGTAAAGCGGTTGTATATAAACCAATACTTGATAAAATAACATTAAGTTCAGATGGACCTACATATTTTAATAATTGTTTTGTAAAAAATTATATGAGTTTAATAATAAAAAGATAAAATAAAAAATGAAGTTTATAGAAATTATTAATTTTTTTTGTACAAAAAATTATAGATTTCATTTAATATGAATAAAAAGTAATCTTACTTGCATGCGCAACAATATGTGTTTCTGATTTCATTTTAGATAATTTCAATTTTGCGTCTACTATATAATATTCCTTTTTTATATCAGCCAACTCCAAAACTTCTACCTGTTTTTTTATCTTATAATGTAGTATCTCTGTACCATCTATATCTCTTTTCTTTTGTGGGTTTGGTTCATCCAGGAAGCTTTCTTCAATTACAGGTCTAACAATCCATCTATATTTTTCATTCACCAAATGTAAAGCATTAATACATGCTAATAAACATTGTGCTTGTCTCGATATGATTGGTGCAGAATGAGACTCTTGACTTAAACGCATTGCTTGCTCATACATCACAGATGCAGCTGTAAAAATAAGTTTATATTAATAAACTAATAAATAACGTATATTATACTTATAAACATATTTGCCATAAGTTGAATTACCTAATCATATCATTTTGATATATGTATTATAAAATAAAAATTACCTTTCCTCATATTTCCTTTATTTACATGAAAACTATATAAAAAATTATAATAATTATTTTCCATTAAATCAACACTTCTAGCTCTACCTTCTACTATTCTTTCTAAATCTTCATACATATCAACATATGGAAATGATACTAAATCAATTAATTTTTTTCTTTCAAATAGAGTTATGATCAATTGTCTCAAACAATCAACTCTTCGCGCCGCATCAGGATTTGAATTTAAACAATGATAAGCTTCGATATGATGACCCAAATTAAGATGTTGTATAAATAATATAGAATGGAGAGTTGGTAAATTATGATCATCTTTATCAGCTACTGAAATGGCTGTTTCAGTGAGTTCAATTATACAATCTGCTGCATTATGTTCTTCAAATAATTTAATAACTTTAAGGTAGTATTGAGTTAAAGCATTATTTTCTGAAGTTATGTTAGAGCTTAACAAAATATCAGCTAAGAAAGAATCTGTTAAAATTCCTCCTGAAGCTCGTAAAAAATGATCACAAGCTTTTTGTGACTCTCCCATTTCAAGCAAAGCAACTGCTAATATAAATTTCCTAGATGCACTGTTCCATTCGCACCATGTATTGAGAAGTCTAACATATTCTTGAACTAATAAAAACTGACAACTAGAAAGTAACCATTCAGGAAAAATAAAATTTCCCGATATTGGCCATCTAAGCAAAAAAGTTAAGAAAACATGATTGATAAATTACAAAAAATTAACATAATATAAAAACAATATGAACATAAAAAGGATACATAAGTTGTGCTATAAGAGTAATATGTGTCAACATGCCATAATGCCATGGTATTAAAGTAGAAGGATCCATATTTGCATTAGCCATTAAAGTGTGTGCATGTTGTGCACCAATACTACATATAAATAATTCTAATAGAGACAAAGATCGAAGTTGTCTCTGTCCAGTATTTGTTTTTGAATCCGCAAGAGATAATATTGATAAACGTTGAGAGCTAGATTCACTAAAATATTTCTTAATTAATTTAAAAATCATAAAAAAATAGTATATTCAAGAATTTTAAACTGATTATATACTTACAGTAATGATTGCGCAGGTGAATACATAGCAGTGCATTCACATATCCAAACGACGACATAATAAGCTTGCATAAGTACAACTGTTCTTGGTGCTAGAGATGATTTAATGGAATGCAATGATCTTGAATCGAATAACTCGGGTCGAAGTAGTACAAATTGTTGTAAAATTAATAAGCTTCTACAAATGGAAAATCTAAGAAGTGTAATTTGGGCAATACTCTCTGATATTGCAGAAATACCCAGTTGACTTCCAAATAAATGATTGACATTCAATAAAATTTTAGAAGCATTAGGACCATTATTTTCGAGTTGTAATTTATTTGGTTGTCCTAGATCATATGTCAATGCCTCCAACAACATAGCCATTGCACTAGAAATATCTTTTACATTTGCCAATTTACGATAAAGTTCCGATTGGAAATCGTAGTTAGACAACTGGTAAAATAATAAAAAAATATTACAAACAGTTAAAAAAGACATATTAAAAATTATAAAGTGTAACAATATACTTACAGGATCTTCTGGTTCTAACATTAATTTTGATATCATATCATCAATAATAAGATCTGGACTTTTTAAATGGTACAATTCTCTTTCTATTCCAGTCTTAAGCTCTTCAGATAATTGTTCTTCCAACATTACTAAACTTGTCATTAAAGTAATTAGATCTTGACATATGTCCTCATCTTGTGATAAAACTGGTGTTGTTTTAAAGCGGGATGTGTATGACTTGTCATTACAAAGCATCAAATGCTCTAATGCTTCCATTGGTCTTAGCAATGAAAATGACGACTTTTTTAATAGAACTACACCAAAAACATTTGGTAGCAATAGTAAACCTACTGGTCTTGTTCCATTTGCATGATATTGAATAACACATGAATAAAATTTAGACCAACAACGATTAGCAATCTCCAAATAATCTTCATCCATCAATTCATAATCCATAACTTCAGCTTGTATTTCTGCTTGTACTGCCACACAAACTCGTTCTTTTAACACTGCCGGTGATAATCTCATATCAGCAATGAGATTTGATTTTCTATAAATACTAAGTGCTTTGGTAATATCCGTTAAAGAAAATTGTCCTGGATGAAAAATGTAACTAATGTAGGCTTGTCTAGGATCTGTGCCAGGATCGCTTACTATATAGTCTCTATCTGGTGATTGTTCCAAGATTACTGTTTCCCACTCAGAATTGATATGCATTCCATTTACTGGTAAATGAGCATGAGTTACTGCAACACTATCCATATCTTTTGTTCTCCATACAGCCCACAAATGTGTATTAGTAAATGAAAAATCTACAAGATGTTGCTGCAAATAAAAAAATATATATATATATTTATATATATAAAAACTGTCTTAATTATGAACTTATTATAAACAACAAATATTGACAATAATACATACATCTGGTGCGAACAAAGTACACAGTCTGATAAATTTAAATATACCATTTTCCTGAATAGGTTTGAGAATACTAAATTCACAACTTGTTCCAAACTTTAAAAAAGTTCCTAAATATAATTCATTATTAGAATTCAAACTTTTTCTTAACATATGACCTTGAATTCCTTGAGAAGCAATACGATTATCAATTGCAGTATTAGTTACTGCTATACATTGATTTTTGTTACAAGACCACATGCGTATATTGCCTTCTCGGCATAAAGCAAATAAATATGTATCATTGCCATAAGAATGTATAACAAGTGAGATAGCAACATGAGCTTCAGAATTACGACCTCTGAAAGCAGTAGCTATACCACTCAGAAATCTTGGCACTATGGAATCTTGTTTTAAATCATTTGAATGTACAAGACCTGTAACTACGTCCAGTCTTAAAAGTAATATAGTTCCCGAGTTATAAGCAAGAGCAAATAATGCTTCATCTTGTAATGTTAACCAAGATGTTGCTGCATGTGACACTGGAGCATCTGTATAAATATAAATAAAAATATATTCATTGTATAAAAATATATTTATATAAATTAATATTGATTAAAGAGGATTATAAGAACTTTAATAATAAAAATTTCAATTTACTTGTATTTCCAGCACTAGTAATGATATGAAATGTATGTGGATCACGCGCATTTTGTGCAGAAGCTTCACTAAATATTGACTGAACATTAATATCTGCATGATGTTCTTGTTCCTATAAAACAGAATTCATTGTTGACTATAAATAAATTATATAATCAAATATAAACCATCTATTCTTAAATTTTGGTGATTATAAACTTTTACCTGCTTATGAATTTTATCTGGATGTGAAAATGTAAGTTTATGTACACTAGAAACTGTTACTACCAATATAATAACAGAATTTACTGTCTCATGGATGGAGATACCATCTAGAAGTGGAGTGCCCGTGAATTTATATCTTA